ACTCGCTGCATGTATCAATTTTCAGTCGTATGAGAAGCAAGACACGTGCAGCTGGAAAAAGCACGTGCGATTAGCGTGGTTCAAAGGTCAATATGATTAGCCACAAGCATATTGAAAATTTTTCCCGAAAGGAAGCGCTAATGTGTCAGATCCGATCTCTGTTTCCTAAACGACTTCGCCTTAAAGTAATTAATTTATCAAATAGAAATACAATTGATTCTCATTACATATCCATGTATACACAAATGATAGCGCTTTGTAAATATTTACTTCACAAATCTATAAAATGAATCATATCCCTTTTTACTATTTAAAGATATTTTTAGTATAAGTGGTACATTTCATATTTCAGATTTAAAATTATAGCTTTTAACGCAATCAAGTTTATTCTTCATCTTTTGTCTAGAATTTGTCATGGAGTTTTGTATTGTTTGTGTAAGTATTCATTTGTATTCTTAAAACAAAATATTTTGAAAATAGGCCATAATTTTAGTTGTTAAAAGCTTAAAATACAACATCAGATATAATTACAACTTGACAAATTAGATTCCAATAAAATGAATCAGTTGTAGGTAAATGCATTGCCTACATATACAAAAAATAAATAAATAAATAAAACAAATAAAAATAAACTTATTCATCCTTGTCAAACGTATTGGTTATTGAAATAAACAAAGAATGTGTAAATAAATACAAATGTTTTTGAATGAAATCTGACATGAACAAGCGTAGAGGCTGAGAGTGATGGTATTCACACACGATAAATGTTTGATGAGGTTGGTGAACAACTACTCCAGAAAGGGGCAGGACTTAGCCAATCATCGATCACCGTCACGGAAAAAAAACAGCCTTGAATTAACATTCAATGATTACGCTTTGGTGAATGAAATGCCATTTAACCAAATATTGTGAGAAACAGTTAGGTACCCCGTTGTGTGCCTCGTTAATGGTGTGATTTTAAACAGGTGTTGTTTCTCCCATCAGATTCTGTTACTAGTAAGGAAACCAACTTAAAATGATCGATTTTTTTCAATAACATTCACATTAACTACAAACTATTGAGGGGTAATTAACACGCGAAAATGTCCAAATAAAATTGATCTGATCATGTTAATTTGTCTCTTTAAATAGAGATTCTGTGATCTTAATGCCGTGTCTATACACTTCTGTGATAGCTAAATTATGGTAAGGATTTCTTTCTTCTTTTTGCTTCAATCATCGTTCTATTTTTATAGAAACGCAAACGTGAGGTAACCACTAAATACAAAAGTGCGATCGATAATTTAAATTTTTCGAAATATAAAAAAGGTCATTTCAATTCTGTTCCTCAATATAATTAGGATTTAGTCATATCTTAAGAAACACCTATTTTTTCAATAAATTTGTTTTTTAATGAATTCATTGACAATGCTGTAAAGCTTCCATTACAGCATATTGGCACCAAAAGAAATAGAAATGTCATAGTGAATTGAACCCTTTTTTTCATACGTGCTGGGATATACATTTGAATATTGTAAACAATTGATTAACGTATTTCTTGAAAAAAGTATTAAAAAAAAGAATAATTCATAAAACACAGTAGCTAGATGTCTGGAGCACCGGATATTCCGGATTCCGGAATACCGTTATCCGACTACGTTGTATATGTTGTAATTAAAATCCACTCTAGGAACGGAAATTTGAATTCCCTGAAAGCAGTAAATCAAATAGTCTTCAACGATAGCTTCTGAATAATCTTATTTTTTCTATATTATTATCAATTGCAAAAACATTACAGCGTAAAAGAATAGAATTAATATATTTCCTTCAAATGAATAATATTAATCAGCGCAGCATGATTTTATTTTCGTTTTTTAACTAATGTATAGTCAATTTTATTGAAAGAAGGATACTAAAAAATAATACTAATTTAAATTTGATTGTTTCCGTCAAAACAAATATTAATTAAAGCATTAATTAATTATTCCGTGCCTATAGCGTCCTCCTAATTGAAGTACCCGCCAAGGTACCATTGGGACTGTTACCGGTTTGTGTCCTTCGGCTAGTTCGTACAACTCCAACCCTGGTACTGTGTAGACCAGCGCAGTATATTGATATAAATCGATGTCTCCACTCAATATCTCATATTTGTCAAGCCCGCCGTGTGTTTATGGTATTGATATATTTTACACAAGGGGACTCCGGAACCCCATAGCTAGATACACCGACACGAGTTCAAAGATTACTTTGTACAGACTCGTAGTTACCTGCTGGTTCAGTCTCGTTGATATTGTTCTGTATAACGCCTTAACTATTATTAATATTTTTACCTGTTCTATATTGTGATGCGGGGTAGATTTTCTCTAAGATTTATCGGATTAATATTGAAATATATTGCATGAAGATAACAAACTTTAATATCATTAGACTATTTTTATTTCTTTTTTCGTAATAATTCATTTTTATTTAAGTTTAAGACAGAGACACTCTTGATAAATTTATTAAAGCCTGTGAAATAAAAAATATAGATAAAGTTCACTTAAACTTATAATCATGGGTGCTATAATTTATGTTATTGTATATAGTAAGTTCAATAGAAAATAAACAGAAGAGCTCGTTGCTTGTTTGCTTTGATCCGATATTTGTTGGTCTAATTTCTAATTTCCCTTTTTCCTACACGTTATTTGAATGCCGGTGTGCTTTATGGCTCTAGTCCCTAGGAATCCTGTTAGAATCACTTATTACAATCAATCTTAGGACAGCATCAAGAAGTTTTATGGACTATTTCCTAATTTGAAATTTGCTGAAATAGATTAAGGTAATTGAGATAGTGACGTGCGACAATTTTCTTCCCGTTACATCAATAAAATCTAGCGGTCCGCTGCGACAATTTGAAAATTTTCTAATTTGAATCGACTAAAGCTTCCTCCGTACAACGGTTTCCTGAAGAGCTCCTGTGGTGTAAGCATTGAGATATAGAATGTCGTTCGCGGATCAGAGCTACTGTAGTTTGACACTTTAATTAGGAGAAATTGGCGGATGATGAAACTACTTTATCCTCCCGAGCCGTGCTTGGATATTTCATGTTTATGTCTCTTCTGAAGAAACATAAAAACAACCAGGCGCAAAAGGACAAAACAGAGGGATCTTCAGTGTGTAGACTACATCAAAAATTTGATTACAGAATCGTTTAAATGGCTCCATTTTAAGTGTATATTATTTCAAAGCTCATAACTTAAGTTTGATTAAATTTCGACGTATAGATATTCGAAAGATATTTTATATAAAACCACATCAATAAAATTTTGTAGTAGTTACTTCCACTAATGTTTGTTATGTAAAACCTTTCTATGACATAAGGAAAACACTAAATCTAAACTATACATATAATTTAATCGTCACGTGTTTTTTTCAGTCACGTGAATATTTAATAATGTAAACATATGTCTGGGAGGTATTGAGCTGAGATACAAACAGTCTGAATGGTACTAATACAAAAATGTTGGACAAACAATAACCAATAAATGATAAATATTGAACATAACAAAACTGAATCCATTTTACTCAATCAGACATAAAAAAAAAAGGTCTTGAAATCAACACACATTGATAAAGAACACATTTTGAACTGGAAATGATACAAGAAATTTTACTGTGGAATAAATTTGAATGAACAACCAAATTCACACATGTAATTAAAGAAGGAGAGAACAACATATAGTAATATAGGATGTCTTTTGAACTGAGTAGAATTAAGTGCTCTAGATAAATACCCATGCTGAAGCAGCAACACAATTATAATAACGATCGATCTATTCTAGCAGATGATACATTGAAATTAAAATGTTAGCAACTTAATCAGAATAATAATTCAAATTGGAGGATAAAACATACAGCAAAAAATAAAGACAGAATAAAGAAGAAGAAACAAAGAAAAGCAATGATAACGAAAATGAAATGTAAAAACACGAGCAATAACGAAAGTGTTGATACTAACTATTGATTTACCTGATCAAATAAGACGATACTATATATACTTATCACCTGTAAATAAACACGAAATGTGGAGGAGTCGTCTTTGGCAATGGGTCGTCATTACCACATCTTATAGGGCCAAAGTAAGGCCATCCCAGCAATCATCTTCTAGACATCGCCGGAAGGTGGCACTCACATTAGCGTCAGGCAAATTTGCTCGTCGATATGTCGATTAGTTCACAATCCAACAACGATCAGGCACCTCAACTCTCCAATGGTTCATTGATATCGACAATCAAAAACTTCCTGTAATGATAGCTAACATATTTCAGGAGAAAATACTTTGACCCTAATGACTGTCTACTCAACAGAGCATGCGCTACGGTTGATGAATTAAAGGCCACGTGACGCGCGCGCGGCTAGGACAGGTGCTGTGGTAGTGAGTGCTGTACTACACAGAAAGTAATACCCATTTCTTTAGTGCCGATAGGCAGTTTCTCGTACACAGTTCTCATTAGAAACTTTCTGTGTAAGTGGGGCTATAATTCGCTGTTCCTAGGATTGACTCAGGCCTTAGGCCGCTTGCAATCTCTTCATGTCCGCATTGTGCCAAACCATGATGAACAGTAAACAGACGGTTGGATTACACCACTCCTTAAACCCGGGACACATTTCGGGGAGGTACTCCCCTCCCTATCGCTCCCCCGAGCGTGTGCGGTGTATGACAACCTCCACGGTATGTAGCTGTAATCTGTCAATATGTGAGAGCTGACTTCGCTTTTTAATCACCTTTATTAGCTATTCTAAGCCAGCCCGCGCAATGTGTCTCATTATTTCCCATGTTTCATATTTTATGAAGTGAGTTTTATCTTCTCGCATTGAACATGCCGTGTGTATATTAGCAATGTTTTTTTTTACCTGGGTTGTCGGTACACAATAGCACTGTGGTAAAAGTACATTGTACAAACACAGCTGTTCTAGGGGATATTTATATAGCCTGCTTTGTTAGAGTATTTACCATTTGTGTTTACTTTTATGTTTTTCAGGGAAATTTCTTTGGTGGAGTTGATGATGGGTTACTTGCACGAGCTGAAGTTTTGGCTGCTGTTGACATTTCTAAGCAATCTTCACAACAGATGATGAAACACGATGGTCTTTACGGTCATACTGCAGACCTTGGGGGTCACAATGCGACCCCTTCACGTCAACAGTTACAGATGCACTCCCACCCGTCGTTCGGCCCTACCGATGTCATGCTTGAACAGCTTTCCTCTAACCCCTCTATGTCCCTGGGTGGAATGCCGGACCACCACATGAGCATCGCCAATTCCCCACCCATCAACCATCACAACATGTACGCACCTGTGTATTCACACCCTAATCCCATGGGCAATCATCACGGGTTTGGGGGTCATCACACAGTCCACCATACTATGCACGACACAGAATGTGATCCGAGGGAGCTGGAAGCATTTGCAGAAAGGTTCAAGCAGAGAAGAATAAAACTAGGTGTGACACAGGCTGATGTAGGTAATGCACTCGCTAACCTCAAACTACCTGGGGTCGGGTCCCTCAGTCAGAGCACGATATGCCGATTTGAGTCGTTAACACTAAGTCATAACAACATGATAGCCCTTAAACCTATCTTACAAGCATGGTTAGAGGAAGCTGAAAAACAAGCGCGGGAAAAAAGGGAAGCAGAAGGTCAAGGACTAGCCTGCTCAGAAAAGAAAAGAAAGAGGACATCTATTGCTGCACCTGAAAAGAGGTCATTGGAAGCTTATTTCGCAGTTCAACCAAGACCTTCTGGAGAAAAAATAGCTCAAATCGCAGAAAAATTGGACCTTAAGAAAAATGTAGTGAGGGTGTGGTTTTGCAATCAGCGACAAAAGCAAAAAAGAATGAAATTTTCAGCAATAGCTGGCCACTGATTTTTATTGTGAACCAATGACTGACGTTTAACACGCACATTTTATTGGATATGTGAATTATTTATCTCGTATCCAGGGAATTCATGTCAGTGATACATAACTGGATCAGTTGAACGGATAACAAGTGAAATTACCTCATAGTTTTTGTGTCCAGTTCAGGACGAGTATGACCTTTTACGGACAAGTCATTTAGGAGTCTGTAAGGTCAAGGATGTGCTGCGCTGACCATTCGGTATTTCACCGTTTTCTTATTTAATACCAATTTTTCTCACCACTGAACGTTTTTGTACCTGAGGAAATGCTCTATGAATTATGTACATTGATCATAACGTTTTTATGAAGTTGATTTTATTTTTGTAAATAGAGAATAATTTATTTTAATTGTGAAACTTTTAATTGTTGTTTAAATTTATTTTAAGTTATTACAATAGGTCATTCCATGTATTGATTTGAAGCAGCAATTTGTTTTATTTATTTACATGTCGCAATACACAGAAAAAGATTTAAACTTAAAAACATTCCATGCTATTAATTATGTATGATACAGTGCAACATATGAACTACTTGAAAGCACGTGTTTCCCTTATTTACATTCCGCTTAATGTATTACAGCTTAATACTTGAAATATTAATGAATCATATTCTCGTTCACGATGCCATAAATATTATCCATCCATTTTGGAGATCATATTCAAATGGATGGTTATATATTTGAACGTTCATCTCCTCTATTCCACTCGCGCTTTTTTTTTTAAACGCTAGTCATAAAAAAATGTTAAATTTATTTTATCAACATAGCATTTTGTCAAATAACGATTCTGAAAAGAATTCCACCCCTTTTTAATTTAAATGTTTTATTTATGTATAAGTATAATTTGCGGTCGTGGTGCCAATGTGCTTGGGTCTGGCTCTTACCTGTTCAGTTTTCCCCAGGCTTATAGTGGGTTTATTGACTGGACTCCACTCATGGTAAGGTTTTATTTTCATCGATGTATGTATTTTTTCTTATCTATATATGTTACCAACATACCCGAGTCAGTCACTTAATCAGCTTCATTAAGTCGATGACGGACGATGCCGTCAATGTTGGGCAGTTCTGTTGATGCTATGAATATGTTTATTACTTTCACAACAAACCTAGAGAAATCACGAATGTTTCTGGAACAATTGTACATATATTTGAAAAGGGCGGAAATCAAAATATACTTTTGTTGATAATTTTTTCTTTAATTTTTTTGTGAGAATTTAGTTGCAATGTTAATTATGAAATTTCCTTAAATATGCACGAGGTCTTTATTAAATGACTTCTATATTTTTCATAATTGATAAACTATCTGGGCGAAGTTGCTTTGCCTTATTACTCCATTCTGAAAACAAATATCTTGCTTGTCTAAATTTCTACAAGAGATTTTTTTTAATCACATTTCATATTTCGTTTGTTAAATCTAATTTGGTTACTTAGATATATTTCTGTATTATCATGGATGTACTGGAATGAAACAGTACCATTATTGTAATGGAGAAATTGTATCTTTGTAATCATGTATGCGATATTTATAGAGTGCTCTGTCAGATGGTCACAAATTTCCAAAGCCACGCATTAATATCACCAAGTGGCAGTATTACAAGTATCAACTTTCTGTAATTGGTCCTTACAATACGTTATTGAATTGTTAGAATATTATTAGTTCTTTATTGGTTTCCAATGCCGTACGGCCCCGTCAGATGTAATATTCCCCAGAATAGTTGATATTTTAGCTATCTGATATGGCACCTACTACAAGGATTATTGTGACATTTAATGCAAGTTCTTCGACAAAAACAGACGGTCGTTGAATCACCATTGGGGTACATTAAGGGTATAACAATAATTTGTAAATTTAAAACAAATCGTGCATTTGCTACAGAAACGTTAAGTATATTTTAGCTTAACATACTCATCTAGTCCCTGTTGAAGTTTGTTAAATGCAAGAGTTTTCTATCATCTGATTAGGCTGTTTCAGTCATGTGCTTGAAATACGATTATTCCAAATTATAAACCCTCTGGGGAGCCTCCATGATAGTGGCTGTTGTATTGAGATAATGATCTAATGACGCGAGGCACTCGGAAGATGGGAAATAATGTAATTGAGTACATAAACATGGGAGACTACTGTAAAGCCATCGGTTTGCAGTGCAGAATCGGCATGGGGACAATTTACTGACCATTCAGCGAACAAGAGAAGTGCTCCTTTCTAAGCCTGGAGCTATGTGTCCCCGCTGTCACCTGCTAACTGTCATCGGAAATAGTTCCCTACTAGTGCTTCCCAGTAATTACAAATCGTCACCATACACAATTACTATTAAGAAATTGTCACAAAGGACAGCTTATGTTAACACGTTGATTGATTTTACCTGAAGAGCTGTATTTGCTCGCAAGGTACATGGTGTTTCACCCTTAAGAGAAACGCCATATTACTTACGTCAACATTGTAGTAATAAGATGCATTATGATTCTACGGTCGTATTTTTATTATTACAAAATGCAATGTTTTATTGTTTTTATTTATACAAAATAATAAAATATGATGAGTAAAACATTTAGTTTTTTTAGTTTTTGTCAAAATTTGTAAAAGCAAACTGCAAAAAATGTGACAGAATTAAGAGATTTATTGTAATACTTGGTTTTATGTATTGATCCTTCAGTGTGTTTACTCAGACGTGACCTACCCAAATTAAACAGGAAACCATTGTGACACTCTAAATGTAGACATCGACAGACATCGATACGGCTGACTGGGTTTATATGAATTGTAAACATAATGTAAACAGAAAACTGATAACGTCAATCAAATAACTATTATTGTCCAACTAAATACTTTTATCTCTTTTGCAAGATGGCAACACAATATTGTAAAGGTTTGCTTGTAGTTTCAAACAAATTTAGAAGAAAAGTGCTATAAAATAAATTTTGTTCTTTGTACCAAGAATCATTCTAGTTATATAATAGTGTTAGAAATCAAAGATTTGTGATAACAGTTTGTCGTTAGAAGTTACATAATGAGAGGTCACTTGTCAAAACGAGGAAGAATGCAAGCAATTATTTCATAAAAATAGTGCATATTTTTACCTCAAATTTATTAATAAGTTTGATTAATGAAATCACAATGATTTGTTTATCTGGCAAATTAAATGTTTTCGTTTGAAATTCGATTTTATTTCATTTTGAAATTTGTTTAAAAGACACATAAGTGAAAAGCATCTTTCTAAATACAAATTTAGAGTTAGAGACAGTAGAGCCAAACAATGACTTAAACTGCATCACACGGCTGTTTTGTCTTTCCAGGACTTGTCAGTGATGCTAAAGATTTAAATTTTGAAGCCTTGGAGGTGACTAATGAAAACCCAAAGTGATCGAAATATTTTAGATTGACTGATACACCAGCCCCATGATGCAATATATTTCGAAATTTTCATACATCGGATGATCCGAGAACACCTGTACATTCTGAGACGTAAATCTTCAATGGAACCAGGTGCTGTAATATCTCAGCACCTATTTGTTAGTCGCGTGTATCTGTGAAGACTGCTGACTATTTATATATACCTCTACTATTCCCCTCACACTATGTGATATTATGGATCATGTGACGTATGAGGCATCCATTTACAGCACAAGAAAATTAAAGATCGACTTTTCACAAACTAATGAAACAATGGTACGGAAAGGGGTCGGTACATCATGTAAACATTTATTGTGTAAATACCAGGCAAATTAGACAAGTAAGCAATATATATTTATAATGTAATATATATATATAAAGTTTATCGTAAATGAGAAAAAACATTCGAATGAATTTGCCAAGATAAAGTTGAAAACAAAAGGAGAGCACAGTGAATTCAAATTTAAAAAACAAGAATTTTGATTATGATTTCTAAATATCCTGCTTTTGGTAGAATTGTTTTAAAAAAACATTTTCTTTGTAACTTTGTTTAAAGGTGAGATTTTCGACTACATGCACTTTAACACCTAAAGTCACTTTATCAGAGTATTAATATAAGAAATATGGTGATAGGGAACAATTCCTTTCACTTAGAATATAATACCGATCATTAGGACAGCATTGTATTTTCAAACATTTTATATTGCTTTGGTTAATCCTACCGAAACGATAATATTTATTTTTATATTTGAAATCAATGCAATCATATGAAAATATTTTCATATTAATTTCAATGATTATTATATTCTATTAAAACTTAAAATTTGTGTAAAATGAACAATTATGAAAGGAAGAACAATACCTAAATTGGACATCAAGTCACGGGTCAGTAAGTGCAGGCGACATCATCCGGGTATCTACAAAGGTAACATGGTGACCAGATGACTGAAAACCATCCAGACTCTAAAGAAATATTTTGTAATCAATTTCTGAGTCCACATATGAAACGTTTAGGCAACGGATGACAAAATTTACAAAAATATAACAGAATTTATCATTTGATAAAAAACAAAGTAAAGAAATCAATGATTTATCAATTTTAGAAACTGTTTTCTCATAGACATATGCATATGTAGAAAATTCATCAGATCGGTTCTATTTACAGAACAGGAAACATCAACTCTCCCACTTGACCCTTTCATTAATTAATTTATGATGTCTCTATTTTTGTTTTAACGTTTCCCCGGGAAAATCATTATTGGCCGAGGATTTCCAGTTTTGCATAAGTAATATCTAATGATTAAAAAAAATGCTTACAAAGAAAGATATTATGTGAATATTCAAGCTCCTAAATTGAAATTATCATGAAAATTTATCAAATTGTTTTAAAATTGCAAAGAATATGAAACATACTCTGAAACTTGTACAAAAGACACACAAGGAATATCACCTTTCAACACGAATTTAGAATCAGATATACCGGAGCCAAAAATAAAGTAAAGTGATCATACAGCGGTTTCTTCCGTCCAAGACTCGTCAGTGATGCTAACAGCCTATTTTGTTTTAAATCTGGGAGGC